CGACATCTCTCGTTCGAATTATCGTTGTAAAACGAAATTCGAAATTGTTTGTATGCTAGAAAGTAGAAGTGGGTGATACAAATCGTATACAGATATGAAAACTATATATCGGTACAATATCCGAAAATCGCTTACTGGCTCGTTTAAAATCTATGTATTTTACAATATCTGATATTTCCGAAATCTGATGTACCGAATACTCGCTCACTCGCTATACCACGAATCGCGATATCATACGCGTATGCCACAATATCAGATTTTTAGACAAAGCGCGTGAGATACAAATATTCACTAGTTAGAACAGTACGGCAACAATATCAGTTTTTTAAACAGATTTCGAGCGACAAAGCGCGTGAGATACATATGTCTTTAAATTTTGTTTAGCCTTAACCTGGAGTGCATTGATACTTAAGCAGGTAAGGGATGCCAACTTAGGAATTTTCTTCCTAATTTAAGGAAAAAAAAATTTTAGGAGTTAAAATTTATTCACATTATTGAAAAAAAATAAAACTACACAAAACGAAAAGGAAAAATATAATTTAATAATTCCGTGCTGCATTGGTGGACGTCATGCTAAGGCTTATGTGTCTTGTGTGTATATTTCTTACACGAAATATATATTTTTTTTAAGGTGGATACGCGAACGTAAAATATCTAGATATTAAAATACATAGTTTCGAAATCTGATATTTGAAATCGAAGTCTGATTCAGATACGGTTCTCAGAAAAAGCAATATGACCCATCTATACTTCGTCTACTATACTGGAAAGGATATAACGATGGATGCGCATTGCTTCAAATGCTAAGAAACAATCTAGGAAAAGGCTCTTTTTTTTATTTGAAAGCTAGTGCATCCCATGTGGTCCTATATTAATTTCATCGGCATTGGATCTATGACTCCGGAGATAGTTAGGAGCTCCTGAAAATCAATTATAAAATGAATACAGAACGAGATATTAGAAAACGGTTTTGTTTTTCATTAGTGAAATAATAGACTTGTGGTAAATGTTCCCTTGACCGTTTTCATACAGTTGTGTTCGTTTCGTTTTTGGCTATCAGTGATTTTGGTTTACATCTTTATCTAATATACCTATAAAATTCTCGGCACTACCGATTTTCGTGAAATTTTGTGTGCATATCGGCCAGGGTGGAGAATCAGACAACATCTATTTTTCATCCCCCTAAATGTTAAGGGTGGTCCACCCCTAAATGTTTATTTTTATTCATTTTATAAAATTTTTTGGTTCTTACTTTTTTTATGATACAGCATACAAAAATACATACAACACTAAATTTTCACCCCTCTACGCAGACGTAGTCGCGGGCAGCAGCTATTAGTTTTGTACAAGAAAGGTATTTGGGATTGCCGGGATTTGTTCACATCCCATCGCCAATATTTTCGCAACCTTATGGTGCATCCATATATAGAATACGAATCAAACACATGACGCCAGATATTTCTTCATACATTATTAATTATTTCTGGTATATTTTTCTTGCAAAGCACATGTTTTAACTAAAAGAGGGCCACAACATAAAACTTCATCGATTTGTTCTCTGATGTACGAGTGAGTTTGAAACTTTAAAAATCTGCTTTAAATTGGCTCAAAAGCCCACCTACCATCTGCATCTGCGAACAAAGAGATCTCAGCACAACAATAGAAACGTCTGAAAAATGGATTTCTTAGTACCTAGCTAGATGACAAGTTTATCGCTTTTCTCAACTTAGCACGGTAACCTGTAAGTCAAATAACTCTCACACAATAATCACTTATACAAAGTGCAAAAAGATGCATTTGGATTTTAATTATGACTTGACGATATTTTATTTTATCTAACATCACAAGCATTACAAAAAGATATATTTTTACATTTTATTAGCGCAGTAGTGGCATTAAATTAACCAGCCGGCCCACGGGCGTTTCCGCTCCATTTAGCCGAGCCGAATCCGCGACAAACGTTCAGCAGAGACGCTTCGGTGCATCCCTATTAACGGTAACTGTACTGACTCCGGCGAACACTTTCTGATGGAATCCGTCATACAGTAACTCGCTTGTTGGACCGCGTGTTGTCTTTAGGGTTTAAGGAAGCATAGTGCGTCAAACCACAATAAGGCATTTTACTTCGTAAGGTTAACGGTACATAGTAATAATTATAAGGTTAATAGTAGCGGAGTTTAATAGGGTCGTGAGAATCTCAAATTACTTGGCACATGCGGGATTATGGATACCTCAAGTAATTTCTAGTCAGGGTATGGAATACGGTTTTTTTATGTGAGAAAGTGGCAAACGAGCTGGCAGTTCACCTGATGTTAACTGATTATTGCTGCCCATGGACATATGCAACATGCAACAGTTAAAAGGTAAACATACAGGTACGATGAAATATCAACCCAAATGGAGGATCTGATGTTTTGTTTGGAAGGGTTTGGGTAATAAGTCCTAACAACCACTGCGACCTAGAAGATCTATTGCAGACAGGAGAACCTGACAAACTAAATTCGTTGTAGCTCAGTGTCTAAGATCAAATCCTGCTGATGGCACCGTAAAGTTAATAAAACTAAACTATTTCATAACGCAGTTAATTGCGTAATAAAATTATTTAAATTTGTATTCAGAGTATAGTAAATTCTGAACCACACTGGGTCCGTGGTACTACATTATGCCCATATGTTATGTGAAGGATTAGAGTAAGTAACCATATCGTAAAGTCGTTTTGCTCACACGATGTAAACACGCAATTAAACAAGAACAATGGTTTCACAAATGACACAACGCCGCGAAATACTCGTCCAGCTCAGACATCCAAACAAACACGACCCGCGATCCTATCGAAGTTGCTACAATTGCTTTCGCTTCCGAAAAATTTCAATAAAAGCGTCCTCGACCCGCGGACATCCCCCAACCCGACAGGACGATATTAAATTCCCGCGCCCAGCGCGAGTCGAGTTCGACTTTAGCGTACGCAGAAATTCCAATAACCCACAACTCGGCTGGTGGTGGTACGCGGGGAGTGTTACGGTTGTCTTAGCTTTTAATAGTCTGCGGCTTTAAAAGGGATCGGTTGGAGGGGGGGGGGGGGGGGGGGTGTAAGTAATCTCTATAGCGCAATAATACTGCGGGACAATGGCGCAAATCCGCCATTGTTGGTACCGCGAATCGGTTTCCGGCATACTCATAAGCGGTTTTATTTCACATTTCAATTGGAGTGTTGTCTCATTATTTTGTTAATTAATTCATTTTATATTTGCTTGGATAATTTTTATAACTGAAGGGTGATTCATATTTTAAGGTTAATTTTTTTATGATTAATTTTATTTCTCGTCTCAGCACGCTAATAGATTGAAAAATTGAAAACATTAAGTACAATAAAAGCACTACAAATTAGAAAAACAATAACAACTTATGAATAACATATACAAAACTTTCCTTAAATACAATTTGCTGACACTTTTTGATGTATAAACGTAATATCTGTTGACTCCTCACTAGGCAAGCCTGAATCGAGGAGAGGCATATTGCTTTTCTAATATTTTAACATATTTTAACAAGCTTGAAAATGCGAACGCAGGCACTAAACTAAGTTAGTTAGCTTCTGGGTGCATTGCCCTAAAGACGCAGGTTTGAACCCCGTGGTCCGGAAATTTCAATTAAACATCAAAATTCGAATTTTAATGTTTACTAGCAATAAACTGTTCGGTAACTGTTGCTTCGGAGTTACACAACAGCGCATTTAATGTACTTCAATCATAATCGAATATACAACATTGTATAATTCCTTCTGATTACCAACACGTTCAAAATTTGTAATCCAACTTAACAGAGATAAATTTCGTTAGAAATCTTTAAGGTCTTTAACTACAGGTACTTACGGACACTCAAATTGCAGCTTTACCCGTCTCCATCCCGACAAAATATGATCTCTGCCCTTTACGTTTTATGCAAATTTCTCGTTGCACCAAGTGGAGACTAATGCGATTTAGATCCGAGTTCTGTGTTAATATCTAGTTAAATTTTGTCGTATCGATTGTGTGGTGTGCAATGTAATTTACGATGAACTAAATTCAATTCAATGATTATAGACGGACGGACGCACATACTTTTATCCACATATATTGGGGTCTACTGCCCTTGGCTCCATTCTTGCAGGTCCCAAATTATATCGTACGATCCGAAAATAATATGTTTTGAATCCGTTTTGTGCTTTTAATGTCACAGAAACAAGGTGTAATCTCATAGATTTTTTAGACTCTAAAACTGGCCTGACGGTAAGTCTCTACTTACCGACTTCATCTCTATGTAGTTTTAGATCCTGAACGTTGTATTCGTACCTCAAAGCTTTTTCATACTTGCTTCGAAGACGCTGGCAAATTGAATCAGAAGAGGGAGGTGGGGGGGGGGGGGGGGGGGGGATATTCATGAAATCCAAAGAGATGGGAAATAAAGAACGAATATTTCTCCTCTACCCCTTCTAGTACTACGTACCATTCCTTTGGTATGTTCTCTTGAATTTTATGACGCAATACGCTACCCTTTTCGATTGCTTAATAGATTTTAACATCTTTAGAAATGGTTTGTTGAGCTTTGAAAGTTTTGGGTTTCAACAAGCTTTAATTATGTTCACGTGTAAATAGTTGTATGCATATAGAACTAAATTTTAATAAGACAACACTGCACACCCTTCGTAGAATTAAGTATCTTCTTTTGTTCAATAGGACGTCTTCCGAATGATGATGATGGTCAGGAATCTGAAACAAAGACCTTTTGGTACACAAAACCATAACACAAACCCAACTTTTCACGCTAGGCTCCGCTGTCTTTAGATAATCACTGGCTATCATAGAATGGAGTAACTATGCACTGAAGTACAAAATCTACATGTCTCTTTCCCTTCATTACGACAAGATGTAATTTTCATTTCAATTTCCCATTTTCCTTTAGTTGAAAGGTTTGAAATTGCCGTAACTCTTGACAATCCTCTTCGCTCAATCCTAACAATAATGTCAAGGTATTTTCAACTCTAATCTGATGACGATATAACATAGTATTATAGATTGAGATGTCCCCAAATTCGTCGTCTGCAAACAAGTCCTTAGCTTATTTAAATTACAAAAGGAAATGCCTACAGAAGTATTGTATGTTGACTATTAAGATGTTTTTTTTTACTTACATACTTTAACTATTAATTTATAGTTCCGGATTTGTACTAATGTAATACTAAATATAATATAAATACTAATGTAACTTAATGTATGTATAACTTAATGTATATAAATAATAATGTAACTAATAGCTGACCCAGCAAACGTTGTTTTGCCATATACATTATTTCTAGGGAATTTGTGAATCTGAACACATAGAAAAAGAATTTCCGGAATGCACCCATAAAATAAACCTATCAAACGACAGGTAGGAACAGTTTGTATGGGAAAATAAAATTATTGCTTTTTCGATTTTCCATGCAAAGTTTTCATAATTATTATTATTCTCATGTTTATTAAATCTTGCCTGGATTGCAACAAATATTTCAAAACCAAAATTAGCTAAATCAGTCCTGCCGTTCTTGAGTTTTAGCGAGACTAACGAACAGCAATTAATTTTTTTATATACAGGGTGGATTTTCTAAAGGTGCCCAAAATCACATACGTAGTATAATCGTTTATTGAAATAAAAACAAACTTTTTTTTGCGTCTTATACTTTTGAAACGAACTTGTGTGCGTATTAGTTATGGAATGATCACTTGTTAAATAAATGAGATAAGTTAAAATGAATGTAATTAACTAATTATGAGTGATTTTTAAATATTTATCATTTTTATATAATATTATTTATATCTAGAATGTGATTAAAAAAATATGATATACTTAGAAAAGCCTCCCTGTATAGAAGATGATTGACATTTGTTAATTGTGTCACATATTAAAATAATATATTACTTGTTTCATATTATAAATGCGGCACATGCAATGTTGGGTACGTGACGACATTACTCCGTTTGAAACGAATGAAAATGTCCCTCTTGCGGGGGCGGATTCCGTGTAAAACGCGGGGGTGGCGTGGAAGTGCGTTATTTGTTACGACAGGTAGAAAAGTTCGTTTTCTGCCACCCTAAAATATGGTCTACAACTATCACTTTGTTTCCAACGTCTCTTTTGTATAGCTTACACGTAAAGAATTGCTCGCATGTTTATATGCGTATATTTTTTTAACGGAACAAAAAGAGCGAGCCGTGATAGTCCAGTGTCCGGGCGCTCGCATTTAATTCAATATACTCGAGCAACCTGAGTTCGATCCCCGGTGCCGGCACCAATGAAGTTTTTAACTTTAAGTGCTGAATTATCACGTGCTCCGCGGTGAAGGAAAACATCGTGAGGAAACCTGCATATTTTCGAAATAATAACAAAAAAATGTATTTCGAAAATATGTGAAGTCCGCCAATCCGCAGTGGGCCCGCGACTATGCCCTGATACCCTCTGTATAGCGGAGGCCTTTGCCCAGCAGTGGGACATGTATAGGCTGTTACTTTACTTTAAAAAGAGCGAATTTATGTATTAATAGAAGAAGCAGCCATTCACCGTTCAGCCAGCTTTATGATTTTCATGCAAACCCCGTGATACTTTCTTTAGTCAGAGCATGGAAAGCACTGAATTCCATGAAGAACTGATTTATATTGTGAAACGAGAAAATAGCTCAACTCTTTAGAGATGGTTACGAAAAAATAAAACTTTTAAAACGGAAACTCGCTCCACCTTCTATCTCGCTCCATTTTTAAATTTAAGCCGGCGAGTTTTGCTTGTCGGAAACTTCTACCTACAGCTTACTCAAAGTTTTACTACATTGGACTTAAACTGAAGCCGGATTAAAATAAAAATGTTTTTAACGATTAGTGCCTAAGTACTCTTCCTTCTTATTTACATTTTTATAGTGCTCATCTCTGCACTTAAGATGAAACATTAAAATTTGTAGGAAAAAATTGCACCACAAGTTCTTCGCCATTAAAATAAAAGCGTCTGAGCGTGAATCCGGTAGAACAGTTGGTTCGATTACCGCACCGATGAAAGACTCTTCGTACATTTTTTCCACAAACTTCAAACATGATTTATACCCAATTCAATAACTTTTCAACCGAAGAAATTTGTCTTTTCTGCGTAATTTCTCAATTGTCACTTGTATATGTGTGTGCAATGATGATAAAAAGTAAACAGAATTAAGTTTTTGAAAGTTTCTGCCGATTCTGGATAAAAACCATTGTAAAGTAACGATGTACACGTTTAAATTAAAGCTGTATTTACATGTAAATAAACCTAAGCTGCGTAGACTATGCGATGCGAAGTTCCTTGCATAAACTTACAAATATTTTAATATTGCGAAATTACATCATTCTTTTCTTTTCTAGTATATCTGTCATAAAAAATGAAATATTAAAATATTTTATACGTTGCAACTTAAGTTTTGTTTTTAAATTCACCGTATTTAAAATGAATTAAGTTACTGCACTCGTAACTTCTTGACTGAAAGAGAGTCTGCGTTTCAGGTACTAACACGAGCGTACCGCAGGGTAGTAACATAGGTGCCGGATACTTAAAGTATTACGACGAAACGAACGTAAAAGCGGCTGAGATATAAAGCACGCCTGAAAAAATATGTCCGCCGGCGCCGGGGGAGGGTGTTTGCAGCCCATGTCGCGTTGAGGCATCCCACCGGGGTCTGTTTTATGTCTTGTTGTGTCAGCTGCCGCTTTACATGATAACGACTGTGTTAGATGGATGCAGATGGATTTGGGGGGGCTGTGTGGAAACGATTGTCGAGCGTTTACACTTTCACGCGCGCGTAGGCGAATTTGTTCGCATAAAACGTGCGATAACTTGATCCCGTGCGTATTTCGCGTCGTGGAACGTGACGAAGTATGAAAGGGTTCAACAGAGGTACTTTTATTGGATTTTTTCCCCCTCGGGGCTTTGTGAGACTTGAGTTATTTTGAAGTTACAACGATTCCGACCGACTTACTTTCAATTAGGCCACTGCCAGGTACCGCTGATAAATTTTTTGCATTATAATTTTGATGAATAAAAGCTATTAGTTTGCGCGACCTTTTATACGACTAATTAAAAAGAATGCTTTTTTCCGTCGCGAGAACTGGATAAAACTACGTAACAGTTGAAAACTTATTAATATTTTGATCTCCTTTATGAAAACTAAAAAAATATTATTATAAATAACAAGAAATAATAAAGAAATATTTCACCAAGCATCTAACGAACTCTGTTTAAGAGAATTTATTCTATCAATAAGGAGATTTTGTTGTTCTGAGGGACACATGGAAGTTAAAACGTTCCTCTATTCCTTTCTTGAGTTTCCATCTGATAACTTGTCTTTTTTCTTTCAGCCACATCACACGGACGGCAAGTTGGCTACCCCCAGCAGAGAGCTGGCCCATCAGAGACAGGGGTGGTCAGGAAGAGGACGCCGAGCTGCCTTACGGGTGGGAGCAGGCGCTTGATAACCGAGGGAAGCCATACTACATCAAGTAAGATCTGACAATATGAAACCTCGCTGATTATATTTCAGGAACTTTTTTTATCTAGTTGCATAATTAGCAAGGCTTGTACTATGAAGTAACTGCTAAACATACATATTTTGTAAATAAATACGTCAATATATAAGCACCCTGACACTACTTTACACAGCATCGCTCATCACACAATGTTTTTCTAGCAGTGGAGACCAACGCTGGCGTTTGAAGTTAAAAAAATATAAAATTTCAATCCATTTAATAATAATGGTGTTATAAAAAATAGTTCTATTACCTATAATAAAATACTAACCAAGCTACAGGCAGACAACAGTCTTATCTAAAAATAAGCTGTAAAACTAAACGGACTCTCAGATATAAATATTATAAAAAAAAGAATTCATCGAACAGATTAAATTATATTACCTATTCTAATATCTTAAAGAAAACCATTTATGCAGCAAAAAAGAACGCAAATATAAAGTTTTTAAATAAAAACAAAAATAAATGTAAAGCAACATGGAAAATAATAAAAAAGGAAATTATGAACACGAAAGTTACAGATGGAATAGATAACATTAGATTTAACAACACTGTTATAAAAAATCCGATCGAAATAGCTAATATCATTAATGCATACTTTATAGATGTAACAGAACAATGCGTATCACAAAAAATTATAGCAAATAGATCTACTATCAATCGACAACTTAACTCTATGTTCCTCACACCCATGACAGAAAATGAAGTGCAAACAATCATTGCGTCTCTAAAAGATGTTTCTTCGGTAGGGTATGACGAAATTAACACAAAAACTATAAAAGCTTGCTCAAAAGAAATTGTTAAAGTTATAACGCATCTTATTAATCTATCTTTTTCTTCGGGTACATTCCCAGAAATGTTAAAAATGTCGGTGATAAAGCCGCTTTTTAAAAAAGGTGAAAAAGAAGACGTCAGTAACTATCGTCCTATCACCTTAATACCGATATTGTCAAAAATATTTGAAAAATGTATGTACGAAAGACTCGTACAATATTGTAACAAATTTCAAATTATTAAAAAGGAACAGTATGGCTTCCAAAAGTACAAGTCTACGTCGTTGGCTATTTTTTCTCTTTTAAAAACGATAATGAACAACATTAATAAGAAAAATTGGACTTCAGGCTTATTCATAGACCTATCAAAAGTTTTTGACCACGTACCTCATGATAGGCTATTACAAAAATTAGAAATATTGGGGATCAGAGGACCCACACTTGACTGGTTATCATCGTATCTTTGTAACAGACAACAATGTGTAAGCGTAACAAGGATTAATGAAAACAATGAATTAACTAACTACACCTCCAGTTATAAGTATACTAAGTATGGAGTCCCACAAGGTAGTATATTAGGCCCAATTCTGTTTATTCTATATCTTAATGACATCACAGGCATAATTAATCACAAATTTGTTCTTTTTGCTGACGATATTTCAATCATAATGTCCTCAAGTAAAGAAAATAATACAATTACAGATCACGAAAATGACATAAATAATACAATTGACACATTAATGGAATGGTTACATACGAATAATTTAAAAATAAATCTGGATAAAACGAAATTCATACAATTTAATAAAAATAGCAAATCGACAATAAATATAAAACTCAACGTTTCAAAAATTAAAGAAGTGACGGAAACCAAATTTTTAGGAATTATTTTAGACCAGGATTTGAATTGGAAAATGCAAGTTGAAACAGTTTGTAATAAAATGAATAGATATGTATACGCTCTTAAACAAATTAGAAATGTTACAAACATGAAATAGCTATGATTTGTTATCACGCCTATGTAGCATCCATATTACGCTATGGGCTCACAATATGGGTAACAGTACAGATTTTAATAGAGCTTTTGTTGCCCAAAAAAAATGTATTCGCGCAATATATGGTCTTTCACCTCAGGAGTCCTGCAGACAATGTTTCAAAAAAAAATGGCATTCTACCGCTGCCGTCGCTTTATGTCTTCGAAATCGGTATGTTTGTGCACAAACATATGTACCTATTTAAAAAAAATTGCGAAGTTTATCCACGCAATCGAAGGGACCCAAACAGACTTATTCTTGACGACATACCAAGATTAAAAAAATATAACAATAGTTGCATAGCAATGCGTGTAAAAATATTTAATAAACTACCTAATGAAATAAAAATAGCAAATAGCAGATTGTTTAAAAAAAAAGTTGTATGAATGGCTGAATGAAAATAACATTTACAATATCAAAGAATTCATTTAATAAAGAAGAGTGGTAAATTACTATTAGTTGTAATGACAATTGGAAGCATGTTTTGACGAATTAAAAGAAATAAACATAAATTTAAAAAACTATGACACGAACACGGCAAGGATGACAGAACAAAAAAATTTTATAATATGATTGTTATGATATTGTATTTAATTAATTATTGAGAATTTATTATTTATTAACAAATTATTTTCATTTGAATATTTGCAATGTTTTGAATTTTTTATGCGATATGATTGTAGTGATATTTAAATTCTAAAAACTTTTGACAAATTTTATATATTTATTTGTATTTTAACACCAGAACATCGTTATTATAACACTATTTGTATGGTTATGTAAAGTATTTGATATAGTTTTATATTAGACTCCTTAGAGTATGATAATGGAAATGACATCTAAAGCTACTGGGACAAAAAATTATTATTTTTTTTTATATTGATTCTATTGTTTATTCTTTTTTTATATTGATGTCAAATACTATTACTATGTTTTTTTAACTTAATGACTGCATGGCAATTCAATTACTAAAACTAAATTTGCATGCTGTTAAACAGCTAAATAGGTTAAAGCGACAGACATGTACTTAAACATCTTTGTAACCCTATTTATGGCAAATAAATATTTGAATTTGAATTTGAATTATCTGGGCAAAAATACTGGTATAACACAATCTTCAAAAACCATTAACGCCAGAAAAACATTAATGGTCTTAATAGCCGATGCCATGTCTAACCACGACCGCGGATTAGATCAAAGTATTTCGGAGTTCTGACTCGCACTGAGAGTCACTTCTGTGACTTTGTGAGCCCCAGCTATACTTTCAAAAACTTGTCCAGCCATGTCAACAAGACCACGACGTACGTGGCGCCCGAGGGATGCTCTTGCGAGTCGCCGCCGGCGCCCCGCGACGTGGAGCTCGAGAGGGACCCCGACCTTGGCTTCGGCTTCGTGGCCGGTTCCGAGAAACCGGTGCTCGTCAGGTTCGTCACGGACAACTCGCCCAGCGTTGGGAAGGTGAGATTTTTATGTGAAAAGTTGCTAAACGAGCAAACGGTTCACCTGATGTTAAGTGAATACCGCCGCCCATGGACATCTGCTACACTCGAGGGTTTGCAGATACGTTGACAACCTTTTTGGAAATTGGGCTCCGGCTACCTCACTCACCAGACGAAACGCGAAAGTATTTGTCATACTTTCACTTTACGCCGGTCTTCTGTGAGGTCGTGGTACTTACCCGGACGAGCCTGCCCATTCGTGCAACAGCCGAGGCTGCTGCGTGGCTCTACCACCGTAGATTTATAAAATGGTTTATTAATGTACACCGAGGTTTTTGAGTAAAGTCCTTTAAGTGTACATTTCAGACGGAGAATGTTTGATTGGGACACAATGCTGTGAAACTTCCTCCGTCGAAACCCTTAATTCGGAATAAAAAAAAATTAAATAGATAAATAAAATGAATAAATAACAGATGTTTAGATCTACATTAATAGTTTAAATAAAGCTATGAGAGATACTTGCCTTTTACTTTTATTAAGTATGTCTAGTAATTGCTTTGCGACTAAATTTGTTTCGTAAATGGTGATAGAATTAGTATGGTCACAAACCCGTGGGTTCTGGCTAGCCCACCGGGTTCTGCGTCAGATGAAGCTTTAATAATCTCTAGCTGAAAGCAAAAACATCAGTTAATACAAGATACAAGATAAGTATTGTATGTGGTAGGTAAGGAAATTTGTTCTGTGCTGAAAAGTCCTAGATATCGTCAGCATCATCCTTCTGACCTTATCCCACCTAGTTGTATATCGTAAGTCTATCGATCAAATGAATGGTGTTGCGAGTCGTATTGGCTAGGTTTTGTACGTGCTAGTTGGAAAGAAACGCCAGATCCGGAACAATTACCTATGGGTAACGAATATTTGTCCCGTCTAAAGTAATACCATACGTACCCATAAACCCCGGCGCCGGAACCAATAGCTTAGAAACTGCCCACCGAGCCACGACTAATTAATCCATTCAAATAGATAATATAATAATATAATAGGTATAATGAGGGTAATAAAAAATAAATATAATACTAGTGACATTACTGTTGAATACCAGGCTGTTGTAATTCCATATACTAGAGCAACCTGAGTTCGATCCCCGGTACCCGCACCAAAGAAATTGTAAATTTAAAGTGCCCAATTATCACGTGTTCAGCGGTGAAGGAAAACATCGCGAGGAAACCTGCATATTTTCGAAATAATAATTTAAAAAAATATATTTCAAAGATATGTGAAGTCCGCCAATCCGCAGTGGGGCCGCGTGGTGGACTATGCCTCGATACCCTCTGTACAGAGGACGCATTTGCCGAGCTGTGGGGCATGTATAGGCTGATCCTTTACTTACCAGGTTGTTTCTCTAAGCTAACATATATTTATCGAATTTAATAAATCCCGTTCCAGTTGGAGCCTGGCGATCAAATACTCTGCGTGAACGGAGAGGACGTTAGCTTGGCAGCGAGAGAGCACGTGATATCGGCCGTGAGGGCGTGCGCCGACAGGGTCACCTTAAGGGTCTGCCAGCCAGCGAGGACGGGCAACCCTGCCAGGAGGTCAGCACTGCTGTCCGCCGCCAAGCGGGCAAGGCTACGCGCCAAACCGCCGAGGGTCAGATTCGCTGACTCCGTTCAACTAAATGGGGCGCCCATGTATCCAGTGAGTGTTCGAGATTGTCTTATTACTAATCTTAATCTATTTTTTGAATAGGGACATAATATGTCATTATATTTGGGTTACTGTTTTCAAGTGGACTGTAATATATTGTAGGACATACTAAAATTAAAACATATATCATTGTCAAATAAACATTATTTGACAATGAAATATGCATTGATTTTACTTTAATACAAATAAGGTAATTCATTCGTTCTTCTCAGCTCAATTTTTCTCTTCCAAATCGGTAGTAGGAATATTTTAATTGACAATCAATAAGTGAGTGTAGGTAATGCTTTTACAAAGATATTTGAATTATTTGACTTTGATTTGAAGAAAATTTGTTGAATGATTTTTTTTGCTAGCTTTCACCAGGGTTTGATAAATTTCACATGATATATATTCAAAAGGTAGAAGGAGCTTTTAGTATCGTTCAATGATAAGAAAAACTTTAGGCATTAAACTAATTACTATAGTATATATTGTTAGTTTATTGCCTAAAGTTTTTCTTATTGGATACATTTTTAGATCGTTGAAATGCTCAGTTACTGAAATAGGATAGCTGACTGTGTCTGTGTCGGACAATTTTAATATCAAATTGTTTCGTCTGATACAATATTACGTACTGCAATACGATTTTGCATTAAAAAAACAAGTAAAACTAGTAATTTATGTACTATGAATCACTTTTAAATCGATGTGAAGTGGGAATTTAATCTATTGTTCTGTTGGTAAGAGATATATTATAATAAGACGTGAGATATAAACAAGAATACTTAAATTCACTGTTTATAAGTTCATATCATGTGCAGATATCCTTCTGACAATTTTCCATCATTAAGCCGTGATATACGTATACAAAATCCAAAATTTGAAAATACTAACTGGTCAACCAGCAGATCGTTCCACGTTACCAGTATGCGCCATGTAAAACCTAGAAAACTCGTAATTAGGTTCAATAAAATATAGCATTAAGATAGATAAGCTAAAGCAATGTTTGTATGTGTGTAATGACAGCAATATGATTGTGTAGTTTGTGGAAGTCGTGACAACTGATGTTCCTTAATCGTACCGTAATAACCCTTGTGTCTGTTTCCTGCAATATGATTGAGTAGTGTATCTAACCATCCCCTTGGCACTGAAAATCAGCGCTGTGTTGGGGCCTTGACTTCCGGCACAGCGTAATGCTGAGCTGCCGACCTAATTTACCGAAATTGGGCGCACAATATTTGTTTTGATTGTCAAAATTATTTTTCATTTGTTTTACAATTTAATTATGTATTTGTTCTTTTGCTTTACTGTATTATTTATAAGTATTTTTTTATTTATTTCTTTTATTTTTTGGTTTTTATTCCCTCTTTTGTTGTGTGCGTCCTTTTCTTGGTGAATAAATGTATTTTCTTTCTTTCTTTCCTCTTCCATTATGACCCTTGTGCGTGCTTCCAGCCGTCGGCCTTCTCCCTGGGCGACCTCTGCCTACCCCCGATGGCGAACGTGCTGAAGGTGTTCCTGGAGAACGGGCAGACCAAGTCGTTTAAGTACGACGCCACCACCACCGTGGCAGACGTGGTGGGCAGCCTCAGGGACAAGCTGTGCATCACGGCGGACGAGCACTTCAGCCTGGTGGTGGAGCACGTCAAGGGCCTGCGCAGGAACAAGCTCACCCTGCTCGACCCGAAGGAGTCGTTAGCGAGGGTAGGTTTAAAGGTCTGGAACAAGCTGCGACCTGACGACGTAGTGGATTGACCAGTCTCTTGCGTCAGAGGGTGGTTCGATCCCCACTACTGGAAAAAATATTGTGACGAATATAATATTATACACAGTGTCTGGTTGTTTATTTATTTACGAAAAATAAAGTATTTTTATCCGTTACCTAGTATCCATAGTACAAAGCTTAGTTTGGTACTAACATTGTGTAAATATGTCCTGAAATATTTTTTTTCAAACATATTTCCATTAGGTGCATCAAGGGATATTAGACGATTTTGCATCATTTTGAACACGTGAACTTCTTGGAATCTCTTCAATTAAAGTATCTCTACGTAACGAGAATATTTTTCCTACCCACGCTTTACAGAGAAAAACATAGTTGGTCTCTCGTCTAAAATCTCTTAGTATTGTTATGAACACACAAAGGAACTAACGCCATCTAGCGTCAACAGTAAAACCACTAAAGAACAAAGACGACATAAAACCCCCTATTCAACACTAGATGGCGTTAGAGGAACTGCTGTGGAACTATAGTCTCGAAAACCGGGTACATTCGCGAACTTTCCGGAATCACGAACATGTTCGTGCGTGTCGTGTACGTTCCAGGAATGATCTTTCTGGATTAGTCCGGAACCGGTCTCGGCCCATATAAAAAGCCGCAGGGAGGCGAGCGATGACAGTTCAGTTTGAGCTACCTTCGAGGCGACTTCGGAGTGAAAAGTAGTGATCAAGAGCGATACCAGTGAAACCTAGGACTTGGCTACAAAATAGGACATTGTTAGTGCTTAGTGTTTGGACCCAGTGCTTTGTGTTGGACCTAGTTCTCTTGAATAAAGTCATCAAAAGAGTCAACAGGTCTTTCTCTCCAAATCCTTCGAACCCCTAACACGTAACAACTGGTGTCAGAAGTGGGATTTGGAGATGCCATTGACTCCGAGAGAGGACTTCAAGGAGGGTGTCAGGACAAGGGCACGAGCTGCGGAGGCTACACCCACTGTGGACCAAGCCCCGCCCACTGGCCCCACCGACCAGGCCACGCCCATCAGACTCCGCCCACTTTGTTGCAAGCACCGCCCACCGACTCCACCTATCGGGCCACGCCCACTGGCCCCGCCCACCTTGCCACGCCCACCAGCGGCACCGTAACTTCTGCAGCCCCTGAAATGGCTCTTCAATTAGGAAGTTTCATTGAACTAATTAGCGCTTTGCAAGAGTCACAAGAACGCAAGTTCGGCGCTTTGCAAGAGTCACAAGAACGCAAGTTCGGCGCTTTGCAAGAGTCACAAGAACGCAAGCTCAGCGCTTTTCAAGAGTCACAAGAACATAAGCTGACTACGATTCAAGAGTTTCAAAAGGCTGAAATCAGAGCGATTTGAGAATCACAAGAGCAACAAAAAGACCTCCAAGAAAAGGCGCTTTGGGCTATAAATGATGTTAGTAGCACGGTGATTAAACTTCGAAAAGATGTCGACGTAGTGGAAGAACGAGTTACCGGGTTAGGATTGGATGTTGAAAATGTGAAAACTGGCCTCACCGAACTACAGAAGAAAGTAGTGCGCCTTGAAACCACGGGAATCGCGATGTCTAGTGGCACTACTGGAGTGGCACAAGGACCAAAAGTGAAAGTGCCGCCATACGACGGCACTACTTCTTGGCACGCTTATCGTCGGCAATTCCAGACTGTTGCTACTGCCAACGGATGGACGGAAGAGCAATGCCTGACCGCTCTCACTGTTGCGCTCAGAGGGCAAGCTTTATCGGTCTTGGAAGCACTGCCACGTACAGGAAATGGGTTCCAAGACCCGATGGAGGCACTTGAATCCAGATACGGGGAGCGACACCTGGAGCACGTGTTCCGTGCCCAACTGCGTGACCGAGTCCAACGCTCAGGAGAAGGACTACAACAATGGGCGTTGGGAATTGAAAAACTCGTCAGGAAGGCATACCCAGGAGCCGACACCAAGATGGTAGACACGAATATTGTTCAAGCATTTGTGGACGGAATCAAATACCTGGAGGTCAGAGCTGCAGTGAGGCTTCGTCACCATACCGCACTAAAGGAGGCATTGGCGCACGCGTTGAAGGTCGAGGCTGTTCGCTATGACATGCGGCTGACCCATAAGATCCGCGAGGTCTCTGAGGAAGTCAAGGAGGTTAAGGCACCTACGAAGAGAAGTTCTGGAGCCATGTGCTACAAGTGCGGCGAGAGGGGCCATCTTCAGCTCAACTGCCCGCAGAAGGAGACCCAGATGGCAAGGATGAAAAGGATTGAGGAACAAATAGAGGAGCTGACGAATCGAGGGGCTTCAGGGAAACGAATAAAAGTCAGGACTAAGGGGCGAGTACTGGCTGACGCGGAGGAAGCCCCAGCAAACAGCAACAACTACGGATCGGAGACTAAGCTACTCAGTGACTACAAGACGGAACACCGCAGCGGAAAGACGCATGGGAATGTCGACGCACTATCACGAAGGCCGTGTTCGGAAGACCGCAAACATTGTGATAAGCAGGAATCTAATGAAGTAACATTAAAGCTAACGAGGACAAGTCCTTTGGGTCTCTGGTAGAATGATTCTATGAGGGAGGCTCAAGAAAGAGATGACGACCTTCGGCACATCATCGCATGGAAGAAACGGGGTGACGTAAAACCAATCTGGAGTGAGGTTGCTCCCACTGGCGCCGTCACTAAGGCGTACTGGGCGCAATGGGACAGTCTGATACTTCAAAACGGAATACTCTACCGGAAATGGGAGAAGACCAACGGCAGAGAGTTCCATCTTCAGATAATTGTCCCGAGAACGAGAGTACCAGATGTTCTCCGTGAAATACATGATGGCGTATCAGGAGGTCATCTAGGTGTCAAGAGGACGTTAACAAAAGTGCGAGAACGATTCTACTGGTTGCATTGTCGAGATGATGTACAGGATTGGTGCCGCAAATGTACTTCTTGCGCTGCTGTTAAAGGACCACAGGCCAGAAGCCGTGGGAACCTGCGGTTGTATAACGTCGGTGCACCGTGGGAACGAATTGCGGTTGACGTAGCTGGGCCATTTCCTGTAACGGAATCGGGAAACAAGTATTTTATGGTCGTCATGGACTACTTCACCAAATGGCCCGAAGTGTTCGCCATACCAAACCAAGAAGCTACAACAGTCGTTTCTAAGTTAGTCGAAGAAGTGATATGTCGTTTTGGTGTGCCTCTAGAAATCCTTTCCGATCAGGGCAGGAACTTCGACTCGCAAGTATTCCAGGAAGTGTGTAGAATTTGGGCATGCATAAGACGAGGACCACCGCGTGCCACCCACAGTCTGATGGAATGGTTGAGAGATTTAACCAGACCCTTGAGAGGCATCTGGCGAAATTGGTAGACGACAAACAAAAGGATCGGGACAAGTATATACCACTCTTCCTTCTGTCGTACCGAACCGCCGAGCATGAGAGCATGAAAGCTACCCCAGCGGATGTCAATTACGGTAGAGAACTACGATTACCAGTAGACCTATTGACAGGAGGGTCACCGGAGGGACCAAAGACCGTACAAGACTATGTCTGCGATTTAAGGGAAAAAATGCGCTATATACACGCCTTGATTAGGGAAAATGGGTTACAGTCAAGTGAGAACATGAAAACCAGATACGACCGGAAATCGAACACGAACGGCTTCGAGGAAGCGTCCCTGGTATGGCTACATAACCCAACTCGCCGGAAAGGGAAATCTCCAAAATTGCAGATCAAGTGGGACGGTCCATACAAAGTGTTTACCCGACTAAATGATGTGACCTATATAATTCAAAAGCAACCAAGAGGGACATTCAAAGTGGTACACATAGACCGTCTGGCGCGTTACCATGGCAGTAACAATGATGCTCGGGACGAGCATCTCTAAGAGGGGAGTAGTGTTATGAACACACAAAGGAACTAACGCTATCTAGCGTCAACAGTAAAACCACTAAAGAACAAAGACGACATAAAACCCCCTATTCAACACTAGATGGCGTTAGAGGAACTGCTGTGGAACTATAGTCTCGAAAACCGGGTACATTCGCGAACTTTCCGGAATCACGAACATGTTGGTGCGTGTCGTGTACGTTCCAGGAATGATCTTTCTGGATTAGTCCGGAACCGGTCTCGGCCCATTTAAAAAGCCGCAGGGAGGCGAGCGATGACAGTTCAGTTTGAGCTACCTTCGAGGCGACTTCGGAGTGAAAACTAGTGATCAAGAGCGATACCAGTGAAACCTACGACTTGGCTACAAAACAGGACATTGTTAGTGCTTAGTGTTTGGACCCAGTGCTTTGTGTTGGACCTAGTTCTCTTGAATAAAGTCTTCAAAAGAGTCAGCAGGTCTTTCTCTCCAAATCCTTCGAACCCCTAACACGTAACAGTATCAAAGTAGCCCATCGCGTAACAATGGAGTAACATTTTGTCACGCTAAACTTGCTGTTGTAAAGTTACAGTTTTATAAAACAGGTTTATTTAGCGACGTTCGTATTTTATAGCGATTGTTTTTTTTGTCTACTTTTTTCAACTTTTATAAACACAAATGAAACAAGGACAAACGTGTGTTTGCTTAATTAATTTCTAATATGTTACATTAATTAAATTTTAGTTTGTTTTAATGATCTGGTAATCCAAACAATTAATAATTTTATGGGTACAAAAACTTTTCCTTATGAGAATCACACACAGCAATGTGTATCGCTCATACTTACTCTCTTGTCAATTTCCGAGAGTGAGAGAGAGTTTTGCAAACAGAAAATTACCGTGAAGACAGGAAGATACGAAGAAATTGTCTGTGGGTCACAAAATACTTGCCAACTGCGCTACGTAGTCTTAACATAAAACATAATTCTAATAGTCGTAATTAAATATGAAAAAATTGTCGTAATCGTGTAGTTACGTACAGTTTTTTTAGACAACTGATATTAACTAATCAAGTGAAAGTTACTGTGGTAGGGCAACAACAGGGCAGCAACAGTTGCACGAATGGGCAGTTGCGTCCGGGGAATTACTTCGGCCTCACAGATGACCAATAGTATTAAACTTTCGCGTTTTCTCTGGCTCTGGTGAGTGAGGTAGGCCCAGGGCCCCCTGTTTTTTTAAACGCTGTCAACGCATCGTACCACGTTCTCACAGAAGACAGTTAAGGAGTATTCAAATTTCGCGTTTCCTCTGCTTCGTGATGTAGCCGGTGCCCCGCATTTTTAAACGTCAACGCATCTGCAAGCGCCCATCTGTTGTAATCTCCGGCATTCACCTAACGTCAGTGGAACCGCCCACTTAACAAGTTTCAGAAAATAAGGCGAAACGTTCCGTGCTGTCTCTATTGACAAAACGCAGTCACCAGATCGCAGATAACAATTTTCACATAAAAAAGGCGAAATGTTTCTTGCTGTTTCAAATGGCAAAACGCTTGGCAACCAGATCGCGGCGAAGCCGGGCTCGCACAAGATGCGCTGTCTGTACCGCGTGGCGTTCGTGCCGAGCTCGGCGGGCGAGCTGGCGCAGCGGGACCTAGCCGCGCTGGACTACCTCTACCTGCAGTGCTGCAACGACGTGGCGCAGGAGCGCTTCTCGCCGGAGCTGCAGCCGGAGGTGGCGCTGCGGCTGGCCGCGCTGCACATCCACCAGCACGCGCTGGCCAACAACATGCCGCCGGCGAAGCTCACCGTGAAGGCGGTCGAGTGAGTGGCCGTTCGAGACGCGATTACACAAGTAGTGGGTAGTGGGCTGCCTCCTGCGCCAGAGGGTGTGGGTTCCCGTCTTGGACGTGACATGGAAATAGCGCAGTTTCTACTGTTGCAACAATGGGCAGACGCCGGGAAGTACTAAAATCTCACGGAATCACGTATTGGTTATGGTGAAAGTAGCAATGCTTCTCGTGTTGTGCGAATGGGCAGGCTCTGTACATCCCGTACACAGCCTGTGTGGAGGGACAGTATTATATTTCCGGGTTTCCTTTGCCGCGTGAGGTAGACTGGCCCAATTCCTCAAAGGGAGCGTCGTATACAGTACCACGGGTGCTGCTGACGTCCATGGGTGGCATTTATCCAGTGTGCAGGGTCAGAGCCTCTTTTTTTAAGGTGGCATTGTATGCAACACGGAAGTTGCAGATGCACATGGGGGTGATTATCACTTAACCCCATGTGAACCGCCATCTCGAGCGTCTAATTCTCACATGAGAAAACATGTGAAATTGTATAAAATTGACCCAAGTCTGTGTCATTCATCGTCACCGTTGCGGCGAAATGGTAGTTATCTGTGGTCTTTCAAAAAACCTTTCTCACTCCAGGCGCGAGTTCGGCTTGGAGCGCTTCGTGCCCAGCGGCCTGCTGGAGAGCATGAAGCGGAAGGTGCTGCGACGGATCCTTGCTCACTCCCTCAAGCTCAACACGCACATGACGGGCGGACAACGGCAGCTAACACAACTGCAGGTAAGCGGGTTCGAATAATAAGGTATCATTTTTTTATGGGTAAAGGAGGCCAAGGAGCATGCGGTTCACCTGGTGATAGGCGTGACCGCAGCCCATGGACATTTGCAACATCGGTTGAGTCGCAATTGCGTTGCCGGCCTCTAAGGTAGGAGAAGGCTCTCTTCTTGAAGGTTGATAGATTTATATTGGTTTCTTGATTTTCATCGTCATCATCATTTAGGCCTGTTTGAGTCCACTGCTGAACATAAGCCTCCCCTATAGACTGCCATGAAGTACGATCCTGTGCCACCTGATTCTTGATTTTACGCGAATTTCATACGGATTTTATCACTTTTTTAGGAAGAGACATTTGTCTTACAGTGAGATATAACATATACTATAAATGCAGTCACTTTAGTTCACTTTTCACTTTTCACTTCACTTATTAAAACCCCAATGAATCATATATTTTCATGTGATAAACATTGCTCTCACTTTAGGATAACATTATCCTGTGTTATAAGTACGTTTTACAAACACAAATTTCACGTGGGCTAACACCCCGTGTGGGAATCCAACCCGCTAACCCCGATGCCCAATGAGATACATCTCACTCTTCGATATCCATGCTTCCAGGCGAAACTCCACTACCTGGATATAGTAGCGAGCCTTCCGAGCTACGGCGCGAAATGCTTCAGCTGCAACCGGCCAGAACGGGTGCTGCTGGTCTCGCCGCGCTTCGGGCTAAGCCAAATAGTCGGCAGGAATAACTCCGTGGTATACCCAATTTTTTTGAAATGCTGGAAAACGAACAGGCGGTTAAACTGATGCTCGCTGATTACCGCTGTCAATGGACATGTTTTACAATAGAAGAAACCGGCTACTTGACTCACCAGTGGCGCCAAAGTATAATACTTCACGGTCTTCTGTAGGCCGTGGTTCTTCTCCTGACGGGCTTGCTCATTCGAACAGAGGATTCATTGCCATCCTGACTTTTTTTTTCTTTTATTACATTACCTAAAGAAGCATTAAATCGTACCAAACATAAACAAATAATATGTCCATTTTGTCCATGTAACGCCTATGTTATTGTTGTGAGCAACGTGTTCGAAGTTGTTGCGGATTAGTTGTATTTAATCCTGACTTTGCTTGTGTTCATATGTTGTAAAATAGACTAGAGGACTATGGAGTAATCGTTGTGCTATTTGCATACAAAATCCATGTTTTCAAATCGACATTTCCCAAAGGGAAATTTGATAAATCCATCGTGAATGCGAGTGTTTTAAATAAACTCCCGTGCTGCGAGGGATTAAATGTTCAACGAAGTTGTAGTTAATACTGTTTTTATCGGTTTCGGCTAAAACTGTGTTATCTTGTCGAGTCTCTAAATTATATAAGTGCAGAAAATATAGATAATTTAGGATAATTTAGATATAATTTAGGAAATCTTATATATCCAGCCCCATCAAGCCCAAAGAGCTTCTCGTATACCTTCGACAATTGCCTCTCGCCATCGGAGCAACTGATAGCGGTATAGCCTAGCGCCGTGTGAGCAACCGATGGTCTTGGTTAAACACAGTACTGTTCTCGGTCCCAGCAAGTCGACGAAGAGTCAATCATGACGCACATATGTCACTCTCCTCGCGGATGTATACGCGCTCACCGAATTTCTGCTTTCTGATTTGCTACCTGACGACACCAGCGACCTACTTCGCCCACATCGTGGTCCTTCGGCCGAATCATCACGTCGTCGACAAGCAAACCGGTAACAGAAATGTTTCATACGCCTATTACGCCACGCAAGAAGAAGCGAACACGTGGCGACGTTACGAGGTCGGAGTGTAAGAGGAACGACCAGGATGTTTTTCCTTCATGTAGTTTGAAGGATGACGAGCCTGACATGACTGTAAAAGATCCAAGCGCTTGTAGCATAAGCAAAAAGTCTCTGAAAACCTCAGGTACGTCATCAACCGCACGTAAACGGCAGTTGGAGTTGGAGGCTGCTAAAGCTAAAGCTGTCGTTGAAATGGAGCTAGCAGAAGCTGAAGCTCAAGCAGAAGCAGAAGCCAAGATTAAAGCTGCGAAAATTAAGGCTAATATTAAGTCCGAGCTGCTCAACAAAAAGCTAGCAGTCGAGATGGCAGAATTAGAGTCTACATCACGCCGTTCCAGTAAGTCTGCCTCTCAATCTACTAACAGCAAAGTAGAAGACTGGCTCGATAATACACGCGACGCGTCTTCGTGCGCTTACGCATCTGTTGCCTACTGGCGTAAACAACACGGTGACAAGGTACAAGTATCTTTTATAGCGAGTAAAAATCGTGTCGCGCCGCTTAAACCGATAACCGTCCCTAAACTGGAGCTTCAAGGTGCGTTATTAGCATGTAGGTTAGCAGAGACTATACAAAAGGAACATCGAATTAAACCTTCATCAGTATTTTATTGGACGGATTCTATGATTGTTCTGCATTGGATTAGAAATGAGTATAGAAATTATAAAGTTTTTATTTCTAACAGGCTGGGTGAAATTGATGAATTAAGTAAAATTAATGAATGGCATTACGTACCGACTAATTTAAACATAGCCGACTTAGCTACAAAAAATAATACTTACGATTTCCAAAAGGACTTTTCTTGGTTTACGGGTGCGTCTTTTCTGTCTAAAGTGGAAAAATACTGGCCACGGGAACCTGAAAAAGAAGAAAAAATGAATAAGGAAATTTTAGAAAAAATATTTACAATAACAATGCCGTCAAAGGATAATATATATATTTGTAAGTTACCTGTCCCTGATCCAGACCGCTTCTCGGTGTGGCTTCGCTTAGTTCGCAACACCGCTGCTGTGCTATTATTTATAGAAAAATGTAGACGGAGTAATACTCGGTGCATTAATGAATCGTTAATGAATAAGACCGAAGTTCTTTTGCTGCGTTACTCTCAGTCACAATCATTTCAGACTGAAATCGATTTGTTGAAACAGAAAAAAGAAATAAATAGGGATAGCCGCTTAAGTTCGTTGACTCCGTTTTTAGACAGCGATGGGCTGTTACGAGTCGGTGGTCGGATAAATGCTGTAAAATATGTTAATGAAAGTATGAAATGCCCCGTGATTTTGGATGGTCGGCGACGCATAGCCAGGCTAATAGTAAAAGACTATCACGTACGCGCTGCGCATTCCTATAACGAACTTGTAATAAACGAGTTGCGCCAAAAATACTGGCTTGTGAATTTAAGGCCTACTGTTCGTTCCGTAGCATCACAGTGCCTCATTTGTCGAATAAGAAAAGCAACGCCGAAACCACCCCGCCTAGGTGACTTACCTGCTGAAAGATTGGTACATCATCAAAGACCTTTCACAATTTGTAGAGTAGATTTGTTTGAATCTATGAATGTCACGGTGGGCCGGCAGAGACCCAAAAGATATAGTGTGCTTTTTACGTGTCTAACCATTCGAGCCATACATATTGAAATAGTATCTACGTTAACAGCTGACTCTCTTATAATGGCGCTTAGGAGGATGGCTGCGCGCCGGGGTTGGCCGCACACAGTTTTGTCAGATAATGGAACCAACATGCGTGGAGCGGATTCTGAGCTCCAAAAATCTTTTGATTAGATCGATCAGCAGCTGGTTATTGCTGAGGCGTTGAACAGAGGAGTAACTTGGCAATTTATACCTCCAGCAAGCCCTCATATGGGTGGAGCATGGGGGCGCCTTATCAGAAGTGTGAAAGCAACTCTTTAAGTAATACTTAAAGAAAGATCCCCACAAGAGGAAGTTTTAGCGACACTTCTTACTGAAGTGGAGAACATAATTAATAGGCGCCCCCTCACACATGTTTCGGTGGACCCTCGCAGTCAAGCGTTATCTCCGAATCATTTTTTGTTAGGATCGTCATCGAATTTACCTCGACCTGGAGTTTTCGATGATGGTGACTTGTACCTCAGACGTCAATGGCGCATAGCTCAACGGCTAACGGATTTATTTTGGAGCAGATGGGTCAGAGAATTCTTACCCGAGCTCATTCCTCGTCGAAAATGGAATAGGGAAGGTCAACAAATTAAGGTAGGAGATCTCGTTGTTGTGGTAGATCCGTCATTGTTTCGTAATTGCTGGCCAATAGGTATTGTTGAAAAGGTTTACCCAGGCTCGGACGGCAGGGTTAGAGTAGTAGATGTTAGAACTAGGTCAGGAGTGATAAAGCGATCAGCTGCACACGTGGCCTTACTCCGCGTTATTGATTCGTGTCGACAAACCGACACTGGGGGGGAGGATGTTGATGACGGCCACGCTGCTTCACCTGAAATATAAAATAATTATAATTAATTTTTGTAAGCATTTGATTTTATTTAGCGTCAAAATTACTATTGTCATATATCATATTATATAATTACTTACCTTTAAGTTAACTACTTACCTTTTGTCACCTTTATGTATTTGTTCTTGAATTTAAATTAATAAAATGGCGTATACATACGAGGACGGTGATTTGTATTTCGCGCGCTTAGGGTTTATCATATTTTAAAAATAAGTGGAAGGTAGCTTGTTGAACTAACTAACTTTGTTGCACAGCCGTTGAATTTGACCGTTGACGCGAGCCTAGTCAGTTGCACTTAGACATCATACGGGGACGCACATATGTCACTCTCCTCGCGGATGTATGCGCGCTCACCGAATTTCTGCTTTCTGATTTGCTACCTGACGACACCAGCGACCTACTTCGCCCACACCCATCAAGTCCCAACGCAATCCCTGTATAGCCTCTCGCCGTGCGAGCAAACGATGATCCTGGTGAAACTAATCCTCGACCTCCTGCTCCACCAAGCCCAAAAGCCTTTCCCCCTATAATCTCGGCAAAAGCCTCTCACCATCCGAGCAACCGATGTTCCACCATAGCCTCTCGTGATCTGATCGCAACCTTGGTCGCAAGTAGTCACAAATAGCCTTGCCCCATCAAGTCGACGAAGAGTCCCAAAGCAATTCCTATATAGCCACTCGACATGCAAGCAGTGCCGGTCCAGCTCAAAGGCAGCCTTATCCTCAGCTCCACAAGCCCAAAGAATTTCCCGTATACCCTCAGCAATTGCCTCTCGCCGTCTGAGCGCCCGATGAACCCAGGCGAACGTAGCCTTATCCACCACCTTAGCGAGTCGACGAAGAGTCCCACAATTCCTTTACAGCCTGGTCCAGCTCAAAGGCAGCCTTGTCCCCAGCCGCAGCCGGTGGCCTCCCTGGAGGAGGTGGAGTGCGTGAGGGTGAGGCGCTCTTGCAGCGGCAGCGCCGACGTGACCGTGTTCCTGCAGCGGGACCGCGTGCTGGCGCTGCTCATGGACGAGCGCGACGCCGCCGAGATGCCCCTCGTCATCGCCGGGTCGGTACCGACGTGATCACGTTGCGAGCGAGGCGGTTCACCTGATGCTAAGCGATACCCGCCTTCCTTGGACATTTGCAACACCTGATGCAGATGCGTTGCCACCTTTTAGTAAAGTGGGAACCCGGTTACCGCTTCGTTAGACGAAACGCAGAAGTGTATCACTTCCACTTCACGACGGTCGTCTGTGAGGTCGTGGTAGTTCCCCGGACGGACCTGCCCATTCGTGCAACAGCGGACTGTTGCTTGACTCTTCTTTTCAGTCTCATTATCATCTATTACATTCATATTTCCACTGTTTTACATGTATCCTTCTTGTAAGTAATCATTGTTCAATCAAAGAAATACTTTTAATTTATCTTATCGTTTCAAATTATCTTACAACAAATAACATGCAAACATATTTTAAAATAACATATACAGTGTGTCGTTACCATCGCGACATTAAATGAAGACACGTCTAACGCTACTTGCCAATAATCTTAAAAAAATATTAACGTTAAACAAAATCCATAATTAAAAATATATATTTTTCAAACAAACTAATTAAATAAAAAAGAAACGAAATTTGTAACATCCTGTTACGGCTTCGGCCGTAGATGTATGAGATTTAGAAGACAGGTCAAAAATTCAGGCGACTTTGATTTCGAATATTATATTTTAAATTAATATTACAAAGGATTCCGCATTTGTATTTTTGTCACAAAGCTTCGAATTGGAAGGAACGTTCTGACGTCGGCTCGGATGCGCCACCGTCGCACGCGTTGTCCCGTGTTGTCCCGGTGACGCCATAGATGGCGCTAGTATGCGCTAACACATCCTATACAACTCGCGCCACATCGTCGTATTACAAGCCTCTCCTTCTAACAGTATGTTTGGTCTCTTTTAACAAACCCATTCATATTTGTGACCTTTATAAATGAACTTTACGTTACGCTTTTATAGGTAAGGGTGTTCTAAAATTCTTTGTTTTGGAAAAAATAATAACTCTGTAAATATTGATGTTTAAAGAATTTAAATGTTTAATACAACTTTAAAAAGTTATTTCCTATATGTGTGTTCATTTATTGTCGCGATGGTAACGACACGCTGTATATATATAACATGTACATACATACAAAATGATATTTGAAGTAAAATAAAAGTTGAAAGTGATTATTTTATTAACGTTTCAGTTATTACCGACTCGCTACTGGAAAGGAGCTTAACGTGGAACAGGAAAGAGAACCTATCAACGAGGATATAGGTAAGAAATACAACCGACGAAAAATTAAATATTAATTTAATTTACTTTTAATTTTATTAACTTTATTAACATTATTTATTTAATTTTATTAACATTATATTATTATTCAGACACTTTTCTTGAAGCTGAAGGAATATTTACCTTCAGTCATTGTTATCATCCGAATTACATATGAAATTCTTTTCCAAAACTTCATATTACTAGAATCACGACTATAAACTGTGCATCATTTGTAGTCTGAGCCAATCTGGATAATAAGTAGATACATAAAAACAATATTAATAGTAGAACAGCACTAATAAAACAAAACAAACTGCTTCCAGCTCCACCATACCTGTCCCAGCACAACGTTATTCCGGCGAAATGGAGCTACCTGCACTACGACAGCCCTCTAGAGTTGAACAGGAAACACTTCGCTATATTCAGTATGCCGCCGCCATACCACTCCACGCCGGAGCAATCCAGAACGAGCCTCGACTCTAACATGAATTCCAGCATAGCGAACAGGAACCACAGCAACAGCTCCAGCCCATTAGTGGGCTACGACGCCAAGCCCGGTCTACTCGGCCACGACGTACACTTCGAGAAGTGCAGAAGGAGCGAGGAGTTCAGACTGTTCGACCCGAACGACACATGCTACCTAGACGATGGAATGGGCTTCGACCTGCAAAGCGTCCTGTCGATGGAGCTGCTGGAGAACGCGGCCAACCCCCGGCTGGTGGAAGCGAAGAACGAGGAAGTGCTCAGACGAGTGGCGGAGATGCAGAAGCTCGTCGAGAACTCGGAGCAGTACTTGACAGAGAACTGTGACGTTTACAACGAGAACGGCTACAACGGCGTCCTTAGGGACGAGCTGGTCGGCAGGGAAACGTGCGTCGACCAGACGGAGAGCGATACGGAGTCGAACGCCAGTCGGATGTCGGCGGCCGACGACGCCCCCGGCATATTGAGGCACAGCGATTCGCTGCTGCTGCTGACGGAGACTATCAATCAGGGGCTCAGCGGTTTGACCGTCGCGGAGGACAAAGAAGCTCCTAGCGAACTAAGCAGGAGACAGTCGCAAGGGCTTAGCGCTATACTGAACAATTGCGGACTCACCGACGCTTTACTGGCCCTAAATAACGACGCATCTGAAAGCGATAACGATTCGCTGTACACGCCGACGAGCAGCCCGATACGAAAACACCAAAACAAACCCAACGGCAAGGGAGTAAGGACCAGTTTCGGCCTACACAGTCCTGACGCTACCCTAGACAATAAGGAGCCTAATTTAAAGGAGTATCTAAAACAATTACGAGAGAAGAGTAGTAAAGAAAACTCAGCGGGCGCTGAGTTTCCATTTTACTATCAAGAAAATGTCATTGAGAGTGACGCCGAGCTTATAGATTTAACTTTGATACCTCCGCCTCAAACGCCCGATGAGTTGGATTGTGCCACGCAAGTGCCTCAGATCTTACCTGTTGTACCTCCTTCCTTCGCTGACGATAAAGACAACGCGGAGGAAGTTCCGAAGAGCAGCGATCTGGAAGAGTTCATTGCGAACATCACAGTCCAACCGCCGACGGTCGAAAATAACCCCCGCTATAGAGCTGACACCCGAAGAGATCATGTCTTACATCATTCCACCGCCTCCGGCTTCAAACTCGTCTACATTAGACAGAGACGGTTACGGAAATCATGCTCAAGTTACGCAAGAGAAGAAGGAGCAGACCTCGAGCGAGGTGAAAGCTAGCAATGGGGACGTGGTTAGAGGAACGTTGAGTGTCTCCGAAATAAGAAATATGTTCGCAGCGAAAACTCTTAGCGAAGCGCGCAATAGCCTCCTGCTGAAGGACAAAAGCAAAAACCTATCCCAACCAAAGACTGACTCGCCCAAAGGCAAACGGAAAAGTATAACAGGGGAAAAACAGGCTAACGGAATCGCACACATCATAGAATATCCAACTGTCGAAAGAAAAGGTATGTTTTCGTGTTGCAGCAAAGACAAGAGCAAAAACGAGGATAGCTCCGAGGAGACAGACAAGGTAGACGGTGGTGTAGAGAACTCGGACAGCATGCCAGACGTTTGCGAAATAAGACCGCCCCCCAGGAGAAAAAGCGTAGAACCCAAAAAGCCCCCCGAGCGACCCCCCAAAGTACCACCGACCCCAGCACCGAGGCCCAGATCCAATTCGTTCACGTGCACGAACAACGAACTGACCGCCGTCGAAATACCGAACAGCCACTTCAGCACGCTGAACAATAGGAAGCTGAACTACAGAGTGGTCTGCGACATGAACGATCAGAACGCAAAGCACCCACCTCAGATACCGCCGAGAATAGAGAATAGGGTCCTATCGCCTCCCCCGCCACTACTGCTACCGCCAAAAAAGCCCCCCCTACCGCCGGTGCCGAGCGTCGAGGTGCTGAGGATGAAGACTTCGCAGAAGCTGTCGCCGGTGCGCAGCGAGCAGCGTCTCGCCAGCATCGGCTCCCCCCACTTCCACCGCAACCTGAGCACCTACCGGAACCTCGAGAACGAGAGCAGGGCAGCGGAGGACGAGACGAACGTGCGATCGTCGCCCAACTACAGTTCTCTGACGCTGCAAAGCAGACACATTCGCTCCAACTCCGAGACCAAGACCACTATACTGAAGAACAAGGAAATGTCCACGGCATTATCGCTGTGCTCACCGCAAATGAATCGCAGGTTCAGCAACCGACCTGACCTGCTCAACGGGGCTCCTGGGAGCCTGGAGCAGAAGGTGTTCAGCCCGCCGCTCTCCGAGAGGAAGCCCTTCCGCCTGGACAGCGCCAGCCCCGCGCCCAAGAGCCAGAACCACGTGAGGTTCAAGGACGAGGTGGCGGACGACATCCCCACGCCGCCGTCCCCGCCCACCGTCAAGTTCCCGGAGCTGCAGGCGGGGAACAACGGCCACGTGTCCCTGGAGAACCTGCTCTGCAAGACCGAGATCGCGGTGGACGGGCTGCTGCAGAGGCTGCACCAGGTCGCGCAGAGGTGCTCGCACCAGCACTCGCACGGCGGCGGCGAGGACATCGACGAAGTCAAGTTTCAGGTACGATTCGTAATAAAACTATACTTTAGAATCCATTACACGGTCTTGTGATGCTACACAGATTCATCTTTATTTAGATCTTTTCATTTATTTTAATTTCCACGAACTTCTTTATATATATATATATATATATATATATATATATAAATCTTCTGTACGTGTGTATGTCACTGAACTCCTAATCGGCTGGACTGATTTTAATGAAAATTTTTGTGTGTCTTTAGGTCGATTCGAAAATGGTTTATATTCACAATTCGGTCAACTACACTATTTTTTTTTACTTCTTAGTTGTCCAATTTATTTCGTGTGTACAGGACTACGTCTGTCCGGTCCGATAGTATTATTATATGTTCTTTGTAACTTCACCATTTTAAGTTTGTTATAATTATTAGTTGATTTAGTTTTTTCTTTCTTTCAAACATGAAATATCTTAATTGACGTAGTCACGCAACGGCTACTGCTGTTGTATGAATGGGCTGGATTATTGGGGAATAAGTCAAGATATTGAAATAATTCAAGGTAATTGCATGCAGTTACAAGCAATGACGTGTAACTGCATGCAACTGTTGTTGTTACCTTTTCCCATGGACGAAATGGCAAGTTGAGGAGTATACTACATCTATGGAGACCAAGCGCATTCAGACTACGAAAGTAATTTATGAATCACATTAAATATTATTCATATTATTAGTACGGTGCGCAGTTGGCGAAACGACCAGTTAAACATTTTTCTTATTTTATCTTCGGAATAGAGAGATGTTATAAGTTTGACGTGACTCAATGTGTATCTGTGTGCCTCAGACATCGTAGCTTCTAGACGAATGGGCGGATTATGGTGCGGTTTTTTTTAAAAACTGGCGTTATCGAAAGTTCTTAGTTTTATAATGAAAAAAAAAAAAAACTATTGTTGTTGGACGTAATCAGCGCGCGCGTGGTGAGCTGACGTCGTGCGCGGTGTCGCTGGTGGGGGCGTCCCGCGCGCTCGTGGGGGCGCTCGGAGGGGGCGGAGGGGGCGCAGGGGCGGGGGCGGGGGCGGGGGCGGCCCCCTCCGCCCTCGCCGATTGCCTCACGCCCCTGCGACGACTAGCGGACCTTGCGCAGGTACTACATCGATCACTTGCGTTACCACCAGCTTGCTGCAACCCGTAAATATAATACAATGCATTTCTTATGTGACAAGATGAAGCGAGCTAGCTGTTCACCTGATGTTAAATGATAGCCGCCGCCTATCGACGTTGCAGTAACCGTAGGGTCGCAGATAGCGTTGCCGCCATTTAATAAAGTCCCGGATACCTCGCTCATCAGTCGAAACGCAGAAGTGTAACACATCCACTTCATGCGGTCTTCTGTGAGGACATGGTACTTCCTCGGACGGACCTGCCCATTCGTGCAACGGCGAAAACTGTTGTGTGGCCCTACTACAGTCAAAATGCACCACGCGGAATGATCTTACCAGACAAGGCCAGACCATTTTGGCCTCACATTTTCAAGATTCATAATGAGCGCGGAGACCAGCACAAAAATAAAATTGATCATAAATTTTGAGGGCGAAGGCGCCAATGGTATTTGAATAATTTATGAATACTGTAAAGTATACGCACTACAATCTATCTACAACAATAATTCTTAATAAGTTCATCTTCTTTTTTAAACTTTTAACCGATAACACAATATTTTAAACTTTAATAACATGTAAAATATAATCACAGAAGCACTCTTTTATCATATAACTTGTGTATCAATTTTTATGTAAAATTCGAATTTTATGTGTCTATTTGAATAAAGATATTTTGAATTATGAATAACTATAATAATATTACTATAAGTAAAGGCTTGTTTTCGGCTGTTTGTCATCTAGGGCTATTCAGGTTAGAATAGCTGCAAGTCTTCCATATCCTTTTTTTTTTTTTGGTATCGGGGGGGAAATCTTCAAAAGATACCCTGTCACTTTACATGACAGGGTTATGTGGGGTTCTTACCCACTAAAACCCCCTCGGTGGCCTCCTTCTGTACATTTGGAGGGACTCCGGGATCTCCCATGGAACGCACCGGTGTCCCTCGGTACTACGCCTAAGCACGCCTCGGAGAAGGATAAACCTTCTCCAATCCCCTCATCCTCTTACAGCAACACGAGACCACTTCGTGCTGCTGCCCATCCGTGTCCCCTTTTAGTCGCCTTTTACGACAGGCAGGGGATACCTTAGCCCTATTCTATAAGCCCGGGACTACAGGGCTGAAGTCTTCCATATCCTAACATAACACAAAACTCAAACACCTCGAACCGTAGGCCCTAGGCAGGCATACGTCGTCGCCGCTGCAGACGAGGAACCTGGTGCTGCGGGTGCACGACGTGACCGCTGCCTTCAAGGACCTTGCTGGCGCCGAAATGGCGCAGATCATCCACGAGCACAGCGCCAAGGGCCCGGGCCAGGGGCAGGACACCAGCTCCACCCTGGAGGGGCAGCTGGCGCTCAGGGCAGAGTGCCTAGCGAACGTCCTGGCAACACTCCTACGCAGCCTCAGAGTCTTCTCGCCCTAGAAACTGATCCTCCAAAAATGCTGAACGTTTTCGAACGAAATTCGCGGCTTACCAATACATCGTGAGGTGCAAGTCGTATGTTTCATTTGAAAACAATTCTGGTTAAGACGATTTGGTTGTTTCCAGTCGTCCGTTTAAGTCGTAATATTGCGAATTCTCAAATATGTGTATACATGTAACAATTATGATTAAAAATATACTATGCGTATAGCGCTTAAACTATTTAATATATAAATGATATAAAAAATACTTAACCTTGTATAATGACTAATGATCGTCACTTCAAATATTTCGCGTTTTACAACATTTTATGTAAGTTGTTTCATATCAATGAAGAAACTTAAGTGAAACTTAACCCTTGTCTTCAAAGTGGACTTTTGAAATATGTTATTATTGTATTTCTTTAAGATACCGTTAACTGAGACCAAATAAATTTAGGTATGTTTATATAATCGTAGTCGCCTACACTTGTCGTTTGTATTAAGTTGTAGTGATTGTAAATTTTAACATTCGTTAATGTTTATATTGTTTGTTGGTACCGTTGGCGTTATATTAAATTAGTTATGAGGTAGTTTTTTTTATCTTTGGCCTGACTTAGCGCGACCTGATAATGTTTGCGTTTTCCGTTTGAATGAACGTTTGTAGTTTGAATAAAAACGTAGGATTAGAGATTCGGGTGTGCATGAAGAAACGATCGAAGAATACTTTATTTAATTACTGTTCTACAACTCCGTAGCTAAAATGTTACCATTGTGAATAATTAATTTTACTTAAATATACAATAACATATCTATTTACATGAAACTATTGTATATTTTCTAATGTTTTAGGGGTGTATGATCATAAATAGTGTGCAAATGTTCAATGTATTGTCTATACTGCTGACCTTGTCTAATGTATTTCGAAAAAAAAAAATAACAAATACTCGTCACTAATACTTTTAATATCTCGTGACTTGGTTAATTTGCCGCGTAATGTTTGGTGTTGCTAGTTGTTAAATTTTTTTACGTAAACGAGAATGTTGCCAGCGTCGCTCTTTGGCGCGCGCTTTGCGCCGTCACTGGTGCATTGGTGCTATTTTGTGGGGACATGTGCGTTTCGGCTTAGCGTGACGTCGCGGCTAACTCGCCGCCATTTTGAATCTCGATTCGCTTTTAATAGGTTGTACACATTAGTGATGTGATAATGCGAAATAACTGATGCCACCTATTAGATCATTTCATTTCCTCGTCCACCTGCGAAGTACAATTCGGTACGGGCGTTTTTACCAGAGAAACAGCCAAAGAGTGTTTTTGTTTGCCTTCAGATTTTTATTTTTTTACGCCGCCTCTTCATTCCTTCTTTAGCTTGTTACGTTCTATTGTATCGAGCGTATAGTATTGTAATAAAATATCAATATCAAATGATAGTGTGATTTGTTTAGCGTCATATGAAGTTATATCTAACGGTCCGTACGTGTTTTGATGTAAGCATGCTATATAAATGTTTGGTTATCCATAGACAAGTAAACAGTCAAGCCTCCCACCTGAAAGCGGGATAGGCAGAGATAGTGTAAGTACTTTCCACGATTAACACACACAAAAACGTTACAAGTTCGCCAATATAGTCCAACAGCGCCCTCTACACTGATTAATTAAAAACATTTTAAAATTATTTCTGCTTGTAGCACAAGTTTGGTGCGTTTTTCGTCTTGTGATGTACATTTAAAAATGTCTTACGTATCGTGATATTAATGTTAGAGTTTCTGGCTACGAAATAGTATCAGAAAGGAGTATATGCCCAATATGGCATAATGGGCCCTTATTTTTTGTTGTTTATAGATTGTTTTTTCGATAATTTAAAGAATAACAACAAATTGTTAAAAAAATAACACAAAATAAATTTTAAGAATCCGGCACTAAATATCTCTCATCTCAATTTCTTTTTTTTTTCTATTAACGTATAGTGTCAGTAAAGAGTATGTTCCCAATAGTGGTATAATGATCGCTCCTATTTTGTTTTTTCTAACTTTTTTGGCAATAATTATAGAATAGCAACAAATTGTTGAACGAAGTAAGACAAAATAATTTTAATATACAAGCTAGCGGACAGATCTTATATGAAGTCAGTCACTAAAGTTTGTTGGCGTGTTCTTTGCCAGTAATAATACTACTGACTGACATCTAGGCCTTACATTCTCTGTTGGTTACATATTCGCTTAATGACAGCATGTTTACCCCAAACCCACGACGACACACATATCATAAAAAACGTATCAACTTTTTCTGCCTAAAAGATGACAAAAGCGATTGTTTCATAGATTATATCTCAGAGCATGTTTATATCAAAAATGTTCGTGGTCACATATAAAGAAACTAACAACGTAGTTATATAGTTACTGTACATGAACCATTATATTACACCGATTTATTTATTGTTTTAAAATAAAAAAAAAATAATAAAATCAAACGTAATGCGACCCATTTGGTGTAATAAACGATTTTAAACAAGACACATTGTTTTATTTCTCTAACTATTCATTGTTTGTATAAATATAGCTGGTGGTAAAAAATAGTGGGATTTGAGTAGGAAATTGACGGTGACTTACCCGATAGCTCCGGTTTCTTAGACTTGACTTGCTTAATTTACTTATTATTCACAAATCCTTTTTCGGTTCTGCAGTCGTGTATTTTACACTTTTATTAGTTTCAAGTGTTTTATATGCGATTAAAAAATGTGATTTAAGATGCGGCACCAAGGGGACACGGAAGTAGAATGGCCGACCGTTCGCCTCACGGTCAAATCTTCTAATTGCAACTGTTGCTATCTCTTTTCACCGACTTAAGGTTAGGGAGTGGGAAAAGGATAGTAAGACAAGTACATATATATAATGCGTGTAAATGTGTTGCTGTGATTGGATTTTATTAAAAAATGTAGACTATGTCTATGCGCTAACGGCTATAACAATAACTTACTCTCTAGGATATTTCACTAGTCAACACCGAGAAAGAAAGGACACTTGAAAATATCAATAAAAATAAAAGAATTTATTGGGATTGCGTTCTAATTATATTGTGTTGTCCACGCGTCTCCGAGCATACTATTATTTTATTCAAGAAACAATATCTCATTTATGTGTGAGCAGTGTTATTTATTAATTTACTATGTTTGTAAAAATAAAGAATAAAATATAAAAATGCAATAAGAACAAATAACGAGTTACCTCAGCCTTCCATGCAGTCGGCCTGCTTAATAATTAGATAATGGAAAATAATTTAAAATGGAAACGTCAAAAATGAGAATCTCATTAGTGGAAATCAAGGAAAATAATAACTAGATAATCGTGAATATTCCAACATCTTTTAAAATTATCTTAACAAAAATATTTAACGATTTAAATTTCAAGGTATACGAGTATATTTGACGTGCATATATACTACGCTAGTTTTTGCTTTGGTTACCTCACTTAATTTATGATATTGTGCCACCTTCTTGGCCATAAATCTCGCCAGAGCCGACTAATTCGCCTAGCAGAAGCAGCCGCTAACTTCAGCAACCGCTAACTTCATCACTATTCAAAACCGTATAAATAATAAATTTATGTAGCGCATATTAAACGGTTTTAAAGTACATTAAAAACTGACACCTTCACCATAAGTTGTTAATTTTAAGTGCTGACTTATCACTTGCTCAGGCATGTGGAGACTCTAATCAGCACAGGGGTCCCTTGGTGGGCTATGCTCTAATACTCAATGTACAGAGGAGGCCTTTGCCAGTCAGTGGGACATAAATAGGCTGTTACTTTTTTTACCTTAAACATAAAACCTTCACTCATCTACTTCGTCTATCGTTTTTTAGGATTTCTAGCGTTTACTGTTCTTTTATATATTGAAAATTGATAATTTCTTACCTTCAATATGAAAGTTTCTGTAACAGTGTTTCTACTTTGGCTTTATCAAAGGATTTAGTGTTGACTTTAAAAGTTATTTTACGAGCACCCTGTTTGTTAGGCGAGATGTATAAATTGTTATGGCACATATTTAATCTAATCAATAATTTATCAATAATTTATTAGTACAGTTTGTTGCGACTTATTTAAAAGTTGTTGGTCTGATACCTATTGCGTCGTGATATTTCCTACCCCTTAGAATGGGGGGGTAGTTGGTATTGGTTTTTGAGGGGTATAAGTTCAACTCTCACAACGTACGCGGGTTAGTTTTTGGTTATCGGTAAGGCTGTTGTTCTGTTGGAAAAACTAAGTGCTATTGTTATCCAATTATTGAGTCATCGTTGAATTATAGTTGTATAAATCGGTAAAAGCTGTATTTTATAACTTGTCTCCAATAAACTATTGGAAAAGCTAAGTATTATTGTTATCCAATTATCGAGTCATTGAGTTATAGTTGCATAAATCGGTAAAAGCTATGTTTTATAACATGTCTCTAATAAAATGGAACAGTAAAGGTTTAAGGAACAATAAGCAAGCTTTCGTACTGTTTTAAGTTATACCACCTGTAACGTTTGTTAATAGTTTAGCTGACAAGAGAGCCTACGTAGAGCGTTATCTCTATCGCACTAAGACGATCTGTCAAATAGGTTTTGAGTGGCAGAGAACGCTTTAAACGTGGTAGAGCCATGCAACAGTTCACCGTTGCACGAATGGACAGTTCCGTCCGTGTAAATACCACGACCTCACAAAAGAACTAAGTGGGAGTGTTATACTTCTGCGTTCCCTGAGTGAGGTAGGTAGGTTATACAAAGGTGTTGTGTGACAGAGATAACGCTTTACCAAACCGAAACCGGTCGATTGTCTCTTTTCAAATGACGATGTGCAATATTTATCGCAGAGTAGTGTACAAAAACACTTGGCTATAATTCGTGCGAGTTAGGTAGACGAGGACTGTCTTGTCTAATGTGTCCGGTTTGAGCATCATAGACAGGAATGATCGGTTACTATCAGGTGCACCGCTTGCCGGTTTTTCACCGACTATTATTTTTTTAAAACTATTATTGTTTCT